TACCCAATCTACCAAACTGACTTCCACGGCATTGCTTATATTCTTACTGCTTATGTCTTAGGGAAGCCTTGGGTTATACCGTGATCACGTGGTACGCATTACCTCACATGTCGTTCTTTATCGGATGTACAGCTTCGCTTCTAAGTATCGCCATGTTAGCCATGGAACGTTCGATTGCAGTTAACGCCAACTACCACAGAAAACTTCCAAGAAAACGAGCAGTTAACATGTCCGTCGCAATCTGGATCTTCTCTTTTACATTTCCTTGTATCTACTTCCAAATTGGTTATTTCAAATTCGCTTTCATCTTTGCAATCTTAATGATCATTGTCACATTCGTTGCTATGGTGATAGCCTTCATACGTATCCATTGCAGCATAAGGAGCACGACAGCCAGAGTCTTAACTGTTCAGCCCATGGGATCTGCTAACGAAAAGACTTCACAAATACAACTAAAACGTGCCGAGAGAGAGCGGCGAGTGACTATAATATTTACAGCTATTCTTATCTTCTACACGATATGCAACTTACCCGCATTTGTGTTCATCTTTGTCGTCAACTTTTGCTCAAGCTGCAGTTGTAATTTTATCCACTGGTCACGTGACCTCCTTCTCTTGTGCGTATTGGTCAACTGTTCGGACAACCAGTTTCTTTATGCTTGGAGAATGAAGAGTTTTACGAGGGCTTTCCGTTCGTTAGTGCATCTACCGCTGACCGACGAAGCATCAGTGATCCAAACACAAGATACGCGTGACAAACAATGATCAATAGCTACTCATTCAAAGTTTGGCACGCACAATACTCAATGTAAAACTTATAAAACTGATAATAATGAACGATAAATAAATGACGCATGCGTTGTTAGGTCCTGAAACCCGATTCTCAAGGACGTGAGAGTGACACGAGTGAAAAACGTCTGCGCATGCTCTGAATCCGTATGCAAATTAGTCAAAACATAAGTAAATTTGACTTACAAACATGCCTGATAAATTGGACTTCACAAAATGCCAAAACTTAGTGTACATGCTTGAAACTTAAGACTAATTCTTTCATATTGTGTTTGTTAATACAGTATCTTGGTCTGACAAAAGTATACTCTCGAACTTTTTTGTATACTTGGAGAAAACAAACATTTATTTTCTCACTCAAACTCTTCAAAATTCTTAGAAAACGTGCAGAAGTTCACGCATGCGCAAAAGTTTTTCTCTAGTGTCCGTGGGAGTTTGATATATGCGGCGTAAGCCATCACTAACAGGAACTACGATAAGAGACTACGCTTCTATGTCAGCCATTCAGAAGACAGCATGTGTATTCATCGTTAACCAGCCTGGAAAACCAGCTTTGTGTTTTTCTCTCGTTATCCCCATGAGAGCAGAATTCTCATGACGCATATATACATATAAATTACATCATTAAAACAAATTATGCAACTCAGATGTTTTTCTGCGTCGTATCTATTTCCGATACATGTTATTTCCAACTCGAAAATATAATGTATTTTTCTAGGTGACTTTGGTAATTATCTCTTTTGATAGGATGATATCGACTGCATGTGATTGACAGGGTATTAGTCTGTGTTGACTTAAGCCTTTATTCCCGTTTGAACTGTTTGTTCCTCTGAGTTGCATTGAGTTCGCCTTCATCCTAAATTCGACAAGAAATATTATCAAAAAAAAAAAAAAAAATCTCAAAAAAAGTAAAATAAACTTCATATCTGGTATCCTGGCACATTAAAACGACCGAAGAAAGCTTTGAAAACACTAAAGGTAAGTTCCAATAATCATTACTTCCATCTTTGCAGATCTTAATTTCGCTTTCTAAATACTGGTATTCACTTGGTATTTACATTAACTTTCATAGAAAACGATGCATACTTTTATTAAACAGATAAATCTTTTTTATTTTTTGTTTTTCAAAAGTAGAAAAACGTGCGAATTTCTATTGAGTTAGCAGAGAAATTTAATATGATATTCCGGGTTGTTCTTTAGAAAAGTATCGAATAATTCATTACATCGAAGTGTCTGTATTTGAAAGCCACAGTTTTACTAAAGAACTTATTGTTGTCAACCCAATTTTGTCATAGTCTGTGTCTATGGCACATTGGTTTGTTTTGTTTTTCTCTTTGTTTTTCTCTTTCCTTTTTAAATTTATTTTTACATAACTGGTTCCGGTTGCACGAAGCCTGGATAGCGCTATTCGACGGATAAATCTTGTCCAATGGATAAATTTATTGGATAACAGCATCAACTTATCCAATGGATAAGGATTTGTCCGCTGGATAGCGCTATCCAGGCTTCGTACAACTGGGCCCGGACCTCCARCCCTTTATCCTTAAACGATGCGATTATTTTCCTTTCTTTGGAGGGATTTCATTTGTTTCGATTTGACTTTTCGCATCTTAAAGTGGAAGGCGATGACCAATGTCAATAATTATGGAACATTTGCCTCAGCAATTACTCCTGACCCAGTCCCAGTCCTTGAACAGGTGGCTTAACATAGGCATAACACATGCATGAAGAGACTTCACAAAATATCGAGATTGTTCAACGATTGTTTTGGATTACACTTTTCGATACACTCGCAAGGTCTCCACTAAGGAAAGTTCACACTGAAGTAGAGTTGGATCGGAATCTTTTCCCCTGGCGGTATATTTTTTCTCTCGATCAACTGTATGTACATGCAGACGTACTATCTAATTAATAAATATATTTTTTGGTGTTCATTCATATGTCACTCTAATAAGTATTGGTATACCATACGCAGATTGTTTTTTGTCTTGTTATCTATAATATATTTTTCAATATATTTCTAATAATTATATGACTTATCGATTTCATTAATCTTTTCCTTTTATTCAATCACAATAAAACATCCCGGATCTATAAAACTACTTTAAAGCTAAGAACACTTTTTTGAGAACTCTAATTACAAAATGTTTTAAATATTTTATGTTACATTTACTCAGGAAATATTAAAAGCTAGCTTACGCCAATTGTTATTTGGCATCAGTCTTCTTCAWAGCTAATAGGTACTGTAGATTAATATGAGATCTATTCTATTAAGAATAAAAAGGTTTAAGAGAGAATTCTTTTCGTATTCAAGCAGTGAGCGC